AATGACACTGTAAAAAAATTTGGGTCATGAATTTTAAAGTAAAGTAGTGATTTGGTCCAGCTGAAAAATGTTAAAAATTAGCACTTCGGAAACTGTCAAAAGATTTGAAGACCCCCTTAACATGAAATTGTCCATATTTTGAGTTACAGCCGATGAAGTTTTCTATAATTTTGATATAATTTGTCCCAAAAGTAGTACAACACACTGTAAAAATATTATTGAGAAAGCGCAGGTGGGATTTTTTTTATTTTCATTTATTGTCTAAAAGAAATGCACTATGAAATAACTGTGTACTTGGACCGAATGTCTATGCACCTATCCTGAGTCAGGAGCCTGTTGTTCAGTAGTTGTGGTTTGTTGGTGTGGTCCATAGTTATTTCTCCGTTTGTATATAGATTAGATCATTGGTTTTCCTGTTTGAATTGTTTTACACTAGTAATTTTGGGGTCCTTTATAGCTTGCTGTTTGGTCTAGGCCAAAGCTCTGTGTTGAAGGCCGTACTATGACCTGTAATTGTATTAACTCTAAATACATTATCAGGTTGGGAACAATCTTCCAAATGAATAATCCCTTAAATGAAAGACTGTCCCTCATTTTACTGTTGTAGAAAAGAAAACAGAAAAAACGTATATTTTTTAACCTAAAAGGGGGGAAAATTCATCATATTTGGAACAACTTTTCTAAAAGAGGGGTCCACTTATTTTTAATAATAAAGAAGATATATATAATTAAAGTCCATGCAGGACTATTAAAGGTGTCAGACCACCAATTAAAAGTCCCTATCTGTTCAACCAAAATTTGCAATTTTCACAGCTTTCTAAATTTTTTACCTTAAGTTTAATTTCTGGAAATCCTAAATTAGTATACTATGGAGTGCATTAATCCTCACTGTTGAATGCAAACTCATAGACTAGTTAATTTTGGCTCAAAATGGTCTTAATATATTTCTCTTTCACCAAAAGTTTCATTTCTGCCAATTTGTTGGTTAGTTTAAGTAAACAATGACATCAAATGCACTATTTTTTGTCCGAGTAGGCCTACTTTCACATACGTTCTAAATTGGAGGGAGTAATTGGTGGTCTGTCACCTAAAGAGCCAAAAAAGTTGATCAGAAATCTTTTGTTTTTCTTTATTCTTAATCCATAGTCAATTTGTAGTTAAAAACATCCTATCTGAGCATAATGCGACTTATATTACAAATTTTACAGCTCAATTTAAACTGACTGTAATGTATGATTTTTTTAGAAAATACTTGAAAATTTCATTTTGGACTACAGGAACATAAACTTTCAATATCAAGATCAGTTTGTGTTGATTTTTCCTTGCTTGTTCTACTGCTTTAAAGACTTTCCACAATTTTTGCAATGAGTTTAGTAAAAAATCCAAGGTATTGAAGAGTCAAGGAATATTGACCCCCCTTTTTTTCACCTGGTGTCAGTAATGGGACTATTAATTGATCAAAAGTGCAGTCATGGTCATTAAATTGTTTTATTTACTATCAGTCAATAAAATTTAAGATACAAAAATTTTATTTGAGATAATAAATGGGATTTTTGTGAGTTTATGCAGTGTTTACATCAGGCTATGTTATCTGCCAAATACATGGTATGACACAATGATATAAGGGGTAAAAATCAAATAATTTCATTAAATCTTCATGACAACAATTTTTGTTGGGTAGTAAACAACCGATGTTTTCATGTTTAACACCATAGAAACAACTTACTGTGCATTTATAACAATTTTGGACATTTTTTTATATGAAAGCATATTGTCAGGTTGGGAAAAGCTAAAAATAGCACAAATTCAGGTTTAAGGCTGTTAATTTGCAATATGTGACTTTTTGACCCAAAAAAGATTGAAATGTGGCTACTATCATTTCAAATGATCAGTTAAGACAAAAAAAATCAATTGTTTTCTGATTTTGGGGTTTAACCGCAATTTCCCTTTAAAGGTGTCAGACCACCAATTAAAAGTCCCTATCTGTTCAACCAAAGTTTGCAATTTTCACAGCTTTCTAAATATTTTACCTTAAGTTTAATTTCATAGAAACCAGGTATATCCTGAATTGTACATGTATCAGCTTTCTACATGCCAATTTTCAACATACCTTTAAAATCATATAAGAAAGAAGAGACCTCCCGAATAGAGGTACCACTAAAAATAACCCCTGGTTTTCTGGAAATCTTAAATTAGTATACTATGGAGTGCATTAATCCTCACTGTTGAATGCAAACTCATAGACAAGTAAATTTTGGCTCAAAATGGTCTTAATATAATTCTCTTTCACCAAAAGTTTCATTTTTGCCAATTTGTTGGTTAGTTTAAGTAAACAATGACATCAAATGCACTATTTTTTGTCCGAGTAGGCCTACTTTCACATACGTTCTAAATTGTAGGGAGTAATTGGTGGTCTGACACCTATTACAAAATTCTTGGACATGTTTTGACCATATAATACCAGATATATGTATAGTTCTTTGGGAAAAGGTTCTTCGAATGATATAAATATGTGCCCTTTTGAACTAGAAAGTGGTTTTTACAAAAAAAAAAATACTGTATATCACTTGAAATGTACTCCTCCTAAAAAAAAGAGTTATTACATTGAGAGATTACCCATCTTTTGAGGGGTTGTTCCCAACCTGATTATGACTTGGATGGAGAATTGTCTCATTGGCACTCATACCACATATTATTTATATACAAAGTGCCAAAAAGAAAAAATAGACAAAGAACTAAAATGAGAACACCAAAACGACAGAGACACAGACAACCATCATATAACATAAAGAACTAAAATGTACACAGCAGTTCCTGCTTCTTGCAAGACAGCCACCATGTTGCTAGTTAGAAGTCATGTCTGTAAAGGAGGAAAGACATCTATGACAATTCAATGGAGATCATTTAAAGCAGTTGAAGTAATTATTCAATTATCTTTCTTGGTGAACAGGAAAGAAAAAAAAACACTTCATAAATTAAAGAAATGTCAAAGTACAAGTGGTAAATCAAGTTTTATACCATCGTGTTTTGATCAATATTGTCAAAACCTATATATGTTTACGAAATAAATATATTCACTCGCCTTTACTTTTCAAGCTTCGCCTCAAAAATTTGCAAATTAAAGTTTTTTTTATTAAAATTTTCCAACCCGCTCGCCCCAATTTTTGGAGTCGAAAAAAAAACGGTAGAACAAGAATTTAATTGGTGTGGTCTAATAGCTCATGCCATCAAACCAGAAATCTGAAGAAAATTGAAATTTGTTTTCCATTTCACACCTTTAACAGCAATATAGTTGTCAAAGAGGCCAATTAATCATTGAATGATTGCAAACCAATGTACTTAAATAAATAATTATGTTGTGCAACTCTTTTTATAGGTCATTAGAGGAAATCAGATCTAATTAATAGTTTTCCGCTTGTCAATAAAAAATTATATGTTAATTCTATTTGTCCAATACCTTCATTTAATTGTCTAGGTCAATCTGACAAACAGTAATATCAAGCCCTATCCATACACCTTTTCTCCTTCCTGCCCATTTGTTTCATTCTGGAACAGCCCTTAATGTTTAATTACACCCCATGCAACGAAGTTGCGGAAGGTATAATGTTTTTCAGCTGTCCATCCATCCGTCCATCTGGACGTACGTACGTACGTACGTCCAAAAATTGGTTTCCGTTCTCTAACTTCAGTTTTCCTCAACCAAATGTTATGAAACTTATACACAATGCTTATTACCACAAAACACATATCAAGGTTGAATTTTGGTGGCGTCACTGTAACTGTTCCAGAGTTATGCTCCTTTACAAATGGAAAAATTGCTGAATTTTTTCTTTACCGTTCTCTAACTTTAGTTTGCCTCAACCAAATATTATGAAACTAATGTGCAAGGCTTATTACCACAAAATACAGATCAAGTTTGAATTTTGGTAGCATCTTTTTTTCTGTTCTAGAGTAATGCCCCTTTACAATGGGCAAAATTGCTGAATTTTTCGTTTCCGTTCTCTAAGTTCAGTTTGCCTCAACCAAATGTTGTGAAACTTATACACAATACTTATTACCACAAAACTCAGATCAAGTACAAATTTGGGTAGTGTCACTTTTACTGTTCTTCATTTATGTCCCTTTATAACTTTATATGATATGCAAGCGGGGGCATCATCTGTGTCACATGGACATATTCCCCATTTATTTTTCTAGGAGTTATGCCCCTTTAACTTAGAATTTGGCCAGTCCTGTTCTTGTCATCGCAACTCCTCTGAAACCGCACAACAGAATTTCATGAAACTGAAGATAATAAGGACATGTTACTATGCAGATATTCATATCAACAGGAAATTACGATTCAATTTTTTTCTAGAAGTTATGCCCCTTTAACTTAAAATTTTGGCCAAAATATACTTTGTCATCACAACTCCTCTGAAACCACACAACAGAATTTCATGTAAATTTGTAGATAATAAGGACATATTATGTAGATGTGCATATCCACAGGAAATTATGATTCAATTTTTTTCTAGGAGTTATGCCCCTTTGAACTTAATTTTGGTCTAAATATACTACTGCAACAGTTTGTAATCGCAACTCCTCTGAAACCACACAAGACAATTTCATGAAACTTTGTAGTTAATGAGAACATAATATGTAAATGTGCATATTCACAAGAAAATTTTTATCAGTTTACTTTTCAGTTTGTTTTGTAGAGTTATGAGTCTTTGAACTTAGGAATCTGTTGAGATTTTGTTTGTCCAGTGACAATGTGGGGGCTTTGGGGTATGTGAGCGTGCTCACAAAGGTTCTTTAATTATACATGCGATGTACATGTACATAAAACAGTACTTCATATTTTTTGGCCCCATTTGGTGATCTCTCATCTTATCCTATATATATACACAGATATGTATATTCTTTAAATTAAATCAATATGATTCAGAAATTTCTAAAATAATTTTGAAATTGCTCAAACATATAAAATGTATTAAAATGAAATATTTTTTATACAGGACAAGGAAAAGTGAACGTGCCCAAATCAAAGGCCAGAAAAATGTAAGTATTAATAAATGAGTCATAACAACAGTGTAGGTGTGTTCAATTAACAAATTTTTACTAAAAGTACTTGAAAACATATTAAAAAGTGGATCTTAAAAATGCATAATTTCAAAATAATTTCATTTTTATGCACCACCTTGGGGTATATGTTTTTTCTGTCTGTGCATCCATTCATTTGTCCGTCCGTCCATCCGTACGTCCGTTCGTCTGTCCCGCTTTAGGTTAAAGTTTTTAGTCAAGGTATTTGTTAATGAAGTTGAAGTCCAATCAACTTGAAACTTGGTACACATGATATGATCTTTCTAATTTTAATGCCAGATTAGAGCTTTGACTTCAATTTCACGGTCCACTGAAGATAGAAAATGATACTGCTAGTGGGGCATCTGTGTAACCTGTATACTATGGACACATTCTTGTTTGTGTGTGTTATCTAGGTTATTAGTCTTCATCCTCTGCCAATTTTTAGCTCACCGGGGCCCTAAGGGCCCCATGTGAGCTTATGCCATCACTTGGCGTCCGTCGTCGTCCGTTGTCTGTCGTTGTTGTCTGTCGTCGTCGTCTATCGTCGTCTGTCGTCATCGTAAACTATTTAAAAAATCTTCTCCTCTGAAACTACTGGGCCAAATACCTTCAAAATTCAAATAAATGTTCCTTAGGGTATTTAGTTTATAAATTGTATCCGAAGTTTTGATCCATTTACAAACATGGCCGCCATGGCTAAAAATAGAACATAGGGGTCAAATGCAGTTTTTGGCTTATATCTCAAAAACTAAAGCTTTTAGAGCAAATCTGACATGGGGTAAAATTATTGAATTGGTCAAAATCTATCGGCTCTGAAATTTTCAGACGAATCGACCACCCATTGTTGGGTTGCTGCCACCGAATTGGTAGTTTTAACAAAATTTTGCAGTTTTTTTTTAATTTTTTGAATATTATTATAGATATATATAAACTGTAAGCAGCAATAATATTCAGCAAAGTAAGATCTACAAAAAAGTTAATATGACCATAATTATCAATTGACCCCTTAAGGAGTTATTGCCCTTTAAAGACAATTTTACACAATTTGTTCATCAAGTTTGCTAACATTTAAAAATCTTCTCCTCTGAAACTACTGGGCCAATTACCTTCAAACTTTAACTTAATGTTCCTTAGGGTATCTTGTTTATAAATTGTATCCGAAGTTTGTATCCATCGACAAACATGGCCGCCATGGCTAAAAATAAAACATAAGGGTCAAATGCAGTTTTTGGCTTATATCTCAAAAACTAAATCTTTTAGAGCAAATGTGACAGGGGTAAAATTGTTTAATTGGTCAAGGTCTATCAGCCCTGAAATTTTCAGACGAATCAAACAACCCATTGTTGGGTTGCTGTACCGAATTGGTAGTTTTAACAAAATTTTGCAGTTTTTTGTTATTATTTTGAATATCATTATAGATATATATAAACTGTAAGTTGCAATAATGTTCTGGTAAGTAAGATCTACAAAAAAGTTAATATGACCATAATTGTCAATTGACCCCTTAAGGAGTTATTGCCCTTTAAAGACAATTTTACACAATTTGTTCATGAAGTTTGCTAACATTTAAAAAATCTTCTCCTCTGAAACTACTGGGCCAATTACCTTCAAACTTTAACTAAATGTTCCTTAGGGTATCTTGTTTATAAATTGTATCCAAAGTTTGTATCCATCGACAAACATGGCCGCCATTGCTAAAAATAGAATATAAGGGTCAAATGCAGTTTTTAGCTTATATCTCAAAAACTAAATCTTTTAGAGCAAATGTGACATGGGGTAAAATTGTTTAATTGGTCAAGATCTATCGGCCCTGAAATTATCAGACGAATCGAACAACCCATTGTTGGGTTGCTGCCACCGAATTGGTAATTTTAATAAAATTTTGCAGTTTTTATAAGACCGCAAAAAAATTTTTGTGGTCATATATTGGTATGACGTTGGCGTCGTCATTGTCGTCATCGTCGTCGTCGTCGTCCGAAGACACATTAGTTTTCGCACTCTAACTTTAGTTTAAGTGAATGGATCTCAATGAAATTTTACCATAAGGTTCAATACCACAAAAGGAAGGTTGGGATTGATTTTGGGGGTTATGGTACCAACAGTAAAGGAATTAGGGGCCAAAAAGGGGCCAAAAATAAGCATTTTTGTAACTTCCAGACATAACTTGTGTGTAAGTGTATGGATCTCTCTGACATTGTACCACAAGGTTCCATATCACAAAGGGAATGCTGGGATTTATTTTGGGGGTAATTGCCTCCAAATTTTAGGAATTAGGGGCCAAAAAGGGGCAAAAAACAAGCATTTTTTTAGTTTCATGACAATAACTTGTGTGTAAGTCTATGGATCTCTCTGAAATTGTATCACAAGGTTCTATATCACAAAAGTAATGCTGGGATTGATTTTGGGGGTAATTGCCTCCAAATTTTAGAAATTAGGGGCCAAAAAGGGGCAAAAACAAGCATTTTTCTAGTTTCATGACAATAACTTGTGTGTAAGTGTATGGATCTTTATGAAATTGTACTACAAGGTTCCATATCACACAGGGAAAGCTGGAATTGAGTTTCGGGGTAATTGCCTAAAAAGTTCAGGAATAAGGGGCCAAAAAGGGGCCAAAAATAAGCATTTTTCTAGTTTTCAGACGAAAACTTGTGTTCAAGTGTATGGATCTCTCTGAAATTGTACTGCAAGGTACCATACCACAAAGGGAAGGCTGGGATTGATTTTGGGGGTAATTCCCTCAAAATTTTAGTAATTAGGGGCCATAAAAGGGCAAAAAAACAAGCATTTTTCTAGTTTCAGGACAATAACTTGTGTGTAAGTGTATGGATCTTTATGAAATTGTACTGCAAGGTTCCATATCACAAAGGGAAAGCTGGGTTTGAGTTTGGGGGTAATTGCCCTATAAGTTTAGGAATTTGGGGCCAAAAAGGGGCCAAAAAACAAGCATTTTTCTAGTTTCCAGACAATAACTTGTGTTCAAGTGTATGGATCTCTCTGAAATTGCACTGCAAGGTACCATACCACAAAGGGAAGGCTGGGATTGATTTTGGGGGTAATTCCCTCAAAATTTTAGTAATTAGGGGCCATAAAAGGGCAAAAAAACAAGCATTTTTCTAGTTTCAGGACAATTACTAGTGTGTAAGTGTATGGATCTTTATGAAATTGTACTGCAAGGTTCCATACCACAAAAGGAAAGCTGGGTTTGAGTTTGGGGGTAATTGCCCTAAACGTTTAGGAATTGTACTGCAAGGTACCATACCACAAAGGGAAGGCTGGGATTGAGTTTGGGGGTGATGAATCATAAGGGGGTTTAAAAAATTTGGGGGGGATTTTTTTTTCCTTTTTTTTCTTTAAAATTTACCATTTTAAATTGGTTATTTCTGATTTATATATAAAAGCAAATAATAATGATATGGTTTGAATAGGTAAATTAAAATTTTTTAAGTTCTTAGACCACTTTCATTCTGTGTCAGAAACCTATGCTGTGTCAAATATTTAATTACAATCCAAATTCAGTACTGCATTAAGCTTGAATGTTGTGTCCATACTTGCCCCAACTGTTCAGGGTTCGACCTCTGCTGTCGTATCAAGCTGCGCCCCAGCGGAGCATTTTGTTTGTTATTATTTTGAATATTATCATAGATATATATAAACTGTAAGCAGCAATAATGTTCAGCAAAGTAAGATCTACAAAAAAGTTAATATGACCAAAATTGTCAATTGACCCCTTAAGGAGTTATTGCCCTTTAAAGACAATTTTACACAATTTGTTCATCAAGTTTGCTAACATTTAAAAATCTTCTCCTCTGAAATACAGGTGAGCTATTCAGGCTCTTGAGAGCCTCTTGTTAGTCTTACTTTCCATGAAATATTTGATTAGGATTTTATAAAACATTTTTAACTTTTTGAAAATTCCACATGACAACCGATCAGACAATAGTTTTAAATTGACTGAATGCAGAAAAATACAATAAATGATGCTCAATAGGTAGTAGATACATTTAGCTTTTGAAATACAACCAAGGCATATAATGATCATATTCATGGTGCTATGTGAATAAATTTATCGGTTTACAAGAGCTAAATTAGCGTCATCACTATAAGCTATGTACAATGGCTTCCAGGTTTATCATACTTTTTGGTGAGTTCTTTGAATTTATCTTCATTCACTCTTGTCCTCAGTCCCTGGTTCATATGATTGGCTAAACCATGATTAATTTTTGGACCTGTCTTTTCATCAGAATTTATAATAAAATCTTTCATTGGTTCTAAGACATTTGCATTTTCAGTTTTTTCTAGATCTGCTTCATGTTCATCATGATCATTGTTCTCCGAACAATCTTCATCATTGCAATCTTAACTTTGTTTGTCACTTGAAACATCTGGATATAATTCAGAAGGTGCAGAAATATTATTGTTTGTGTCAAACAAACAGTCCATTTGTGATTGATAGTTATCTTTTCTAGATTTATTTTGAACGACCTTTCTTGGTCTGGCCATTGTTGCCAATTGTCTAGAATAAATCTTTGGTGCTGTCTGAATAGTATATCAGTTTGTAAATTCTGTTTTTGCATCAAAGTTTGTATGTATAACTGATTCTGTAATAACATATTGTAGAAATCCGATATAGCTACTTCCTGTGTTTGATTGACAGGAGTATTACACATGGCTCCACCTCCTACAATAATGTTTTCAATACTCGCTTGAAAAGCACTGTTTTTTGTTATCATAACCTGGCGAAATAAGTTGCCTGTGGTCATAATTTGGGCTGAAAATATTGTCACTTTTAGAACTTGTCTTGGCCTTGCCAGAAAGTTCCGTTACCGTTCCATTAGCAAATGTTTGCTGACAACGTAACAAAATTATCCATCACAAGCTACATCGTTAGAATATTAATGAATCCAAAAACTATATCAAATCGTAAATATCGTATTCCAAATGTCACAAATAAATTAATTTCCAAATAAAAACAAGTAAGATATCCATTATTTCCAATAAACTTAAGAGGGATAAATTTCATGAATTGACCTCATAAGACCAAATACGCTAGTGACCTCTACGATCTGCTTGTGCATCTCATGGTACTCTCAGCATATAGGTTCAATAAAATTAAAAGGTGCGCAGATATAATGCTACTTTTTCCTTCTTATCAGAGTCCAATCTTTAGGAAAATTGCTCCTGCACATCCAAATGTGAGGGACAAACTAGCATCTATTTTTACACTAAGTGAATCTCTTGAGAGGCTATTATTGACATCCATCTTTTGCCTTTTAACTTGGCAGTTGAGCCTCCCTTGTGAAAGAATTCCTGGATCAGCCTTTGCTTTATAAATCTAGCTAGCATGTATTAAACCAATCTTACTTCATAAGTTAATATATATACATACATAACATATGAATTCAAACAATCATAGAATTTTCATTTCTTTTTCCTCATTAGGTGTCTAGTGCAGTTAAAGAGGCAGAGTTGTATATTAGACAGGGTATTGACAAGGATGGTTTTATTGTCAAAGATATTAACCCTGAAATAGGTGAGTTTTGTTAGAATTTTATGTGTTGTCCTCCATTGGTATCTTTGTAACAATACAGCCTTCCATTTCAGTTTCTAGGTAAATTCTAACATTTTGGCATCAAAGGTACAGTGAATTAGAAATTATTGTAAGGTTTCCATTAATTTTTCGGACACCAATTCACCCACTTCAACTTGAAAATGCCTGTACCAAGTCAGGAATATGACAGTTATTATTCATTCTTTTGATGTGTTTGAGCTTTTGATTATGCCATTTGGCTATGAACTTTCCGATTTGAATATTCCTCGAAGTTCGGTATTTTTTGTTATTTTAGTTTTTAGAACATATGCTGTTATTTACTTAAACTAGCAAACATATTTGCAGAAATGAAATATACATATAGACCAATTTGAACATAAATCATGCCTTAAGTTTTCTTATTTAAATTGTTTTACATTTGTCATTTTGGGGCCTTTTATAGCTGATAATGTGGTATGGTTTATAGTCATTCTTGAAGGCCATACATTGACATAGTTGTTAATTTCTGTGATGTTTGGTCTCTTGTGGAGAGTTGTCTCATTGGCAATCATACCACATCTTCTTATTTTTACATTAATTTTGAGTTAAAATTTACAAGTCAAAGATTATGCTTTAAAAATTGAGGATTAATGTGCTCGATAGTATGCTTATTGAAGATATTCAGAAAATGGGGTTTATTTTTAGTAGCACTTGACTTCTGAATGGTGGTGTTTCACTGCAAGACTTTAAATATTTAAACATTGGTTGAAAATTGTATCAAAGAAGGATGACTATCACAATAATATAAAATCACAATCCATATATACGAATACAAAATTAAAATTATATCTGTTTGCATTTTTTTCATGAAATTGCAAAAATTAATCTTTAATTTTGTATGGTCATGTCAAATTCACAATAATATATTATTGCAATAATTTCTCATTGCAATAATTTCTGATATTTCAGTATTCAACTTAGATAAACTTCATCAATCATGCTAATAAAGTACCATTTTATTTTGTTAAACATATTGTGTCCTTTTGCCTGTCATACAAACATCCAACAAAAACACACTATTTAAAACCTGCACAGGAAACATTCGCAACAGGTTTCACTTTGTTTAAAATATATCCCTAATTTTATTTGGAATCATCATATGTGTGAGATACTTGTAATTGTCTGAAATTCCTAAACCAATGGAAGAAAAAAGAACCATTTTAACTAGATTTCTAATTTAAATCATGTCTGTAACTCATGCTGTTTAAGATTGCAATATTTTGAACCTGCCAACTGACTGTTTATTTATGTTTAATGTTTTTGAAGTGATAAACAAGCAACTTGAATAAATTTCTCTGTTGTATTAAATAATTATATGTCTGCTGATTTATGGATCATTTAATTTAAACTGAAGTAATCCTGATTCTGAAGAGTAATAACCTTAATTCCATTGAATACACTGTATACTTCTAAAAATGAATAATATAAATTCAAATCAATACATCCTCACTATAGGAGAGGGAACTATATTGCAATAAATGTTGGTTGTGTTTCTCTCAGGAACTGCAAATTAGAGCTCATGAAATTTGGTTTTAAGCTTAGGAAAGCATGCTACTACATATATGCATACTGCGAAAGTATTTTTATTCATGGTTATCAATTTTCATGGATTGAGCAAAAGTTACATGTTCATGGGTTCTTAAATTCATGGATTTTAGTTTTCTGAGAAAAAAATTTGGGTGAAAATTGGATCCCATCAGAAACGAAGTATCTTGAAAATAATCATATGGTGTTCATTTTCACTTACATGTTAGTCTTTAATTTTCTGACAACATTCATCAAATTTTTTATAAAATAATTGCTTTCAGAAATAAGCTGATTCATCTCTCAATACAAATTGTCTCATTGAAGAAAATTGCAAAGTAAACATTTTGATTGTTGCACACGTGTAATCAGAAGTGGTGACACCAATTAACCCGACATCGAATAATCAAGAGATTAACGATCATCAAAAGTGTTAATTGGGCCATAAACATGTCATCTAAAGAAAAAAATTGCATAAAAATGCTACAAATGTACTTTGAAGAAAATTGAGAATGGAAATGGGGAATGTGTCAAAGAGACAACAACCCGACCTAACAGCAGAAAACAGCTGACGGCCACCAATGAGTCTTCAACACAGCGAGAAAATCCCGCACCCGGAGGTGGGCTTCAGCTGGCCCCTAAACAAAATGAATGAATACTTATGAAATAATACTTTTGAAATAAAAAAAGCAAGCCCAATATGCAACAATTATTATTTTTTTCCGTGAGAGAATTATGAGCAGATAAAATTAACACTTCACCATCATACATCTTAACCGGAAGTCTGACTTTCATTTTTCAAAGCTAATTTTTTACTTTGGTTTATAATTTAAAAATTAAAATCCTGTCTGAAGTTGTACATGCTACACTTTTGCTACGCCACTGCATATAGTTCATAGTGCGTTTGCTGATATTTGATGTTTTCTCTAGAAAATATGCCCGTATCCATGTAGTCGAACCTACAGGGGATTTTTCCATGTCTTGATTTGAACAACAGTTGTTATTATTTCGTTGGACACTTAAATTCGTGGATAAAACCTTCCACAAAAACCACGAAAATTGGTACCCCACGAATAAAAGTACTTTCACAGTATTCGTGTGTGTGTGATGCATGAGATGCACTAATATATTTCTGGTTTACTTATAATAATGTATATATGTGGTAAAATAATTAAGCAATGGTATTGTTAAAGGGCACAGCTTATAGGATGTAAAGCACAAAAATACTTATAAATATATTATTAGTTTTCTTGTTTAATTTTTTACATTTTCATTTTGGGGCTTTTTATAGCTGACTATACAGCATGACTGTTTTATCTTTGTTGAAATCCATACAGTAACCTTCAATTGCGTAATATATCCTTTTCATTTGAACTTTGGTCCCAGGATATTTGTCTCATTAGCAGTCTTACCATATCTAATTATTTTTATATGTACTTATAGACTGAAACATGTCTTTCCATATCTGTCCTGGTATCATCCCAAGACACTAATATTAGCTAAAGGCGCAAGCTGAGGGCTCATATGGATCAAGGGATGATACTAGGGCCCATATGGAAAAGAACATGTCATATATTTATAATTAAATACATATGCTTAAGGAAAGAATTTTATGATTAGTCTGGCAAGATCATAAATGTTTTTCCACTGAAATAATTTCACTATTACGAAACTCAAAATACTTGAAAATTGTAATGTCATGTGAGATTTTCTTTTAGCAGTTAAGTGTTAGTTATCTTTATTTATTTGACAAATTAATTTTCATTGATTTTGAAAAAATGAGCACCTCTTCATCAGTCATTGCTGTTAGAAATGCTTACAACATCATTAATAACCAAATGACAAGGCACAATTAACTGGTTATTTGGAAATATAAATAGGGCAAATCTGTGGTTATATATATATATATTGTGTAAATATGCAAACCCCAATGTTTCATAACAAATATATGATAAATGTATTCATTGAATATATTTTAGCTTAAAAATATAAAATTACATATTGAGTAGTTGCATATATACATGTAAGATTACTATTCAGTGATATATTTAGCAAATTAAGCTTGAAAAAATCACCTGAATAACAATGAATTAAGAGATGTGGTATATAATTGCCAATGAGATGATATCCACCAGAGTTCAAATGAAGTGGATGTAAGCAATTATAGGCAACCCTACCACCTTCAACAATGAGAAAAACTGTCTATAAAAGGCACAAATATGAAAAATATGGAACAATTAAATAAGAAAACTATTTATTTGTACTTCAACATGTTCAAGGTTCAAAATTTGAAAGAAACCAAGGTCTCTGCTCTTTGGTCGGGTTGTTGTCTCTTTGACACATTCCTCATTTCCAATTCTCAATTTTACTCATTAGAAAGGTCCTTAGTACACCGGTAACCTGTTATACTCATTATGAGTCAGCCAAAGAATGGAAACTTTGAAAGTAAACATGAGTTATTAAATAATTTATTACACTCCAGTATAAAAAACTGGAAGATTACAGTTTAGACTTAAATTTTTACTGAACAATTTAGCAGAAATCATTTAAATTTATTTATAAATCAGTGAGCACATTTTTCAACCCTGATATTTTTCTGATTCGAAACAAATGCCATTAATGAATTTTACTGTATGACTCTTGTACATTCTAGACAGTGCATGATGTAAAATTCCCACACTTTTGTAAAATGTATCAGACTAAATTTGCAAATGGAATGTTAGCACACTAATTTCTGTGTAACTATTACTTTTCCTGTCTGACAGGGTCACATGACCTTAACTTCATTTTAATGAATCAGTAATCATTTAGTTGTTACTATATCTAGAACATTATTTTGTAAGGTGTAAATTCCATCTGACAGAGATGTTTGTCTTTGATAAAAATTAATTCATAGTTCAGTGTTAATGATTAGTTTTCTTGAACAGATTGAACATGTTGAAGAAAGTATATAATCTCTGCAACCCATATGTTTCCTACACTACAAATAAAAAGGAAATGGGAGTGGAAGAAAATGACATGCCAAGTAAAAAAAAAATAAATGGAAAACCATTCTTACATGCCTTAAATTCTAATTGCTAATTAACTCAAAGGAAATGATATATTTACAATCTTTATACTTATAACTGAGAACAATAACACATAAAATATGTTACAATAAATACATAATAAAATATTAATAGAATTAAACAAAAAAATGAAAAAAAGAGGGATTCAATGCCATATGCACATAATAATCTATAATGGTTAATGAATTCCAATAAATACAAACCAGAGGCGGATTGGGAGGGGTAACAGGGCTTGGATCCTCCTTTTTAGCTCACCGAAGGGCCCCATGTGAGCTTTTGCCATCACTTAGCGTCCGTCGTCGTCGTAAACTATTTCAAAAATCTTCTCCTCTGAAACGACTGGGCCAAATA